TGAAACTGATCAGAATAGAATTTCTGTTCAATTTACTGACAAATGTTACCTGCTTTTAGAGAACAAAATTACGTAACATATTATAAGCAATGTGCTCACTGACTTATATAATTTGATATTTAACTGTTAAAAAAGAAAATATATAGCTTTATAGAAACAATATTAAAACAAATAGATTTATCGAAAATAGATGAAATGAGTGTCAAATAGTATGTTTCATCAGAAAGCAGAAATGTGGACACTTGTTGCTAAACTTACATACAATTTACTGCTTTGGCTGAGAAAATTAGAATATATTATTTCTAAGATTATCTTATTATTTTGTTTTTAATCATGAAATTGTTGAATACGTCCACACATCACTACTGAATCTCAGAAGAGACCTTGTGATATTTCAGTCATTTAAAAGAACTTATTGCTTCCAGATTTGTTTCTAAGGAAAGAAGTGAATATTGGCCAAGAAATTTTGAATTTTTGCCAACAGGACATCAATCAGATGAAGATTTATGTCAAAAACTCTGACTTTCTGACTCGGCTTCCAAACCTCAACCTCCCAAAATTGTACAATCATACTTACCATGTGTTGTAAAACAAATAAAATTAATAAAATAAAATTTACTAGATAAGTTTGTGTTGAGACTATGTCAGATTCATTAACACACTGGTGAGGGAAACATAAAAATAAAAAAAAGGTACAGACTTGGGGAATGTGCAAATAGATGGTTTATTTTGCTGGAAAACAGAATAAGCAGCATAAAAAAAAAAAGTGTTAAGTAAGGACGAGATTTTATTTTAGAAATCATAAAATCATCATGCCCAGATCACATGTTACGTTAGAAGAGTATGTCATTATAATCTGAAGTGCTAGAATTGGTAAGAGATGGTGAATAAGAACAAATAACACATTTAAAGAGCAAATGATAAAGATATATATGCAGTCGATAGTAACAACTTAGCTCATCTTCCAGTAGTTGTGCCAAAAATGGACAGTTAGCATGGGCTCACAGAAAGATACCAACAGAAGTCAGAAGCAGAGTGACAAGAAACAAGTTTTATTTTTAAATGGGCCATTGCAAGTGATCTTTATCAGTATTACATTATAGATCTGTTCAGATGAACATAATATATTTGATCTGAACCCAACCCTCTGGCACACACAAATATGTCATATTTTCTAATGTGGCTGTTTTTATGTATGATAAAAATGAGAATCAAAATGGAAGGAAATATTTGAACATAAAGTCTATGTAAATCCTGTGACCAATTCTTACAATATATACACGACTACAACCTTGATCCCGGCCACCCTCATCTTCCATACAGGTCGTTGGAATAACTTCCTATATGGTCTCCCTGCTTTCACTCTTGTTCATGCTAACATATATTGTGTTCTTATTCATACTCCTTTCCAGACATTTTATTCTCTGCTAACAATGTGAGAGAACACAACATACATGATTAGCGATTATGAAAGATTAATGATATGGGTGTAAATTATTGAGTCTCTTAAAAAGGCCAAGTGTTCTATGTAGAGGAATCTATTCTTGGAGATGGATGTTCACCAGAAAGTAAAGAAGACAAATACCAGGGAATCAAGGAGTTTCTGAAGGAAAAGTTGTCAAGTTATGGAATAAATAATACAACATAATAATAAAGGTCAAAATAGAAATTACATTGGGAGGATATGAGAGTATTACATTAGAAAGTTTTAACTTTGCATGCGAAAATAATAGGTCACCTTTAGGGATATACCAATTTAGCTTAAAAGATAAACAGTAGTTTGGTAGACATAGTGAGCAATCTAGGGGGTCTAAAGTTTTCTGTGCATTCTGAAGAATATAGTGCAGCACCTTATATAGTTACATAACTAGAGGTACATTATCCATTTTTTTCTTATGTAAATATCTGTACCTTAAATAAAAATTTTCTACCCATGATATGAACTGAGAACATTCACAAATAAACAATCTAGATGATGCATGAACTCTAGATAATTCCCAAGTTACATTCTTTGAGATTAAGGTAGCCAAAAATCGAGAAACAACCCAAATTCCATACAACATAAGTAATTGAACAAAATAAAGCTTATTCAAGTCAGCACTGACAATAAATGACTTAAACATAGGTAGAATATGGGTAAAACCCTTACT